AAAAAAAAAAAAAAAAAGCAAAACAAGCCGGCATACAGAAACCCTCCAGCCTGGGCCCTGCACCTCTCACCTGATGTCCCGCGTCGGGGGGACCTCCGGCTTCAGACACACACTCAGGGACACCCGCTGCTGTGCCAGCCAGGTGGCACATTTCACAGCTGCTTGCTCATCCCCGCCCACCACCGCCCGGGTGAGGCTCAGGACCATCTCCTCTGCTGAAAGTGGCAAGGCGAGGGGTTAGACCAAGCGGACTCTAGGCGCTAAGGTGCAAAGGTCTGGGAGGAGGCGATCTCTCCTACTTGCACACTGCTTAGTCTCCCTCTGAATACCCACAAATCCCTCCATACCCCATGGAAAAGCCTCTCCCTGGGAGGGAGGCCAGCTCTGATATACCCGCTCCTCCCCGGCCTATTCTCTTCAGGTTCCATTTTTCTTTACTCTCGGTCTCCCATAGGTCCATTCATTTCTGACAAGCATTTACTGTATGCCACTCACTGCCCCAGGATCTGGGATCTAACTGATTCAGATAAACAAGGGTCCCTCTCCTCCCAGTCAGCCCAATCCTGCCAAGAGGCAGGAAGGAACAAGTCTGACAAGAAGTGGGCAAGTCAGACTGTGGTCCACGCTGCAAAACAATAAACAGGGTGAGGAGATGAGGGAGGACCCGCCACCTGAGGCAACCCTGCAGCAGAGCCCTGAAGGTGGCACAGCAGGACCTGCCAAGACCAGAGGGAAGAGTCTGCCAGGTGAGTTCGGAGTGAGGGCCAAGGCCTGGGGCAAGAAAGAGCTGGTCTCTGGGATTGCTTCTAAGAACAGAGGGGTGCAGGGAGGGCTCCCAGAATCAGCATCACGGCGCTCTACATGGCGCCAGCCAGGAAGGGAGACGGCCCAGGACACTCGGGGTCCACCAAGTCTTTCTCCCACAATCAGGCGACTCTACGCCAGCGTCTTCCATGGGATCCCCACCCACCTCAGCCCAGAGCTGACCCAAGGCCTCAGAGTCCATGGGGAGGAAACTGGGCAGCGGGAAGGAAACGAGGAGAGGTGGGTCCTGCAGGGTCACCCTCTCCCGAAGCCCACCCCTCCAGCGGCGCCCACCTTTCTTGGTCTTCTCGTCCATCCGGCCTGGCTGCGCCCATCCCCCCGAGGGCCGCGGCTCTGGGAAGCGCACTGTCCCGTCACCTGGGAGAGAGGCGGATCAGTCCCGCGCTTCAGGGTCCAGGGGCCCGGCCCAGGCCACTGGAGGGAACGGGAAGGGCCGGCGGAGCCCCGGGGAGGGTCCCTCACATGACTCGGCCGCCCGCTGTACCCAGATATCAGCCCCACGCTCGGCGTTCACGGGACGACCCTGTCATCCAGAAGCCCAAGGAAGGCCGCCTGGGCGGAAGAGAAAGTGAAAGTGGCACCTCCGGAAGTGGGACTCGAGGGGGCCGGAACACCGTCCGCTCATCCGGGGCTCCCCGCGCGGCCCACAAGCGGCGGCCGCAAGCGCCGAACTGCTCCTGGCGCCCCCGCCCCGCCGCGGAGTCCCGGCGGTCCTGGGCGACCCGACCCGGAACTGAGCAGACACCCGAACCACGGGTCACCCGCCGCGCCGCTCCGCGCCCCGCCACGGTGGGAGGGGCGGGGCCTAGAGGGAAAAGGGTCCTGACATCGAGGGGCGGGGCCTGGGGCGGGCGGGGCCTGGGGGGGCCACAGGACGGGGCCTGGACTTTGGGAACTGCCCAGGACCAGGCCGAAAGCTGCTCCTAGGCGACCGTCCTCGCTGTTTCTTTATCCTTTGATGAAGTCTCTACTCCCTGGGTGAAGGCTGGAAACTTTTTACATTCTTCAGCCTCCTGCCCCTATTTTTCTTTCACTGATCCCGCAGATCGATTCTGTGGGCCCTTCCTGCAGAGCAGATCCCCAGTTGTCACTTCCGCCACATCTGCTTTCGCCTGCATCACTTCTTCATCGTTTAGGGCCTGGAACCAGCCTCCTTTTTGGGTTCTTTGCTTCTCTTTAGTACCCTTCTTTCCCAGGACATTTTAGGGGAGCTTCCAGAGTGTCGTGTTACAAGTGCGGGTCGTGGTGGTGAAGCTGAAGCAGGAGGTCTAAACTTCAAGCACAGCCTGAGCTACAGTGTGACTGTGTCTCCAAATAAAGACTGGAGCTGTAGCTCAATTTGAAGTCCCTGAGTTGAATCCCCAGTGCAATAAATAAACAATAAAATCAAACCCATGTCACCCCAACTGAAATACTCGCACCTAGTAAAAGCCAGTCTTCCTTGAAGCTTGCCATTTGCTCCCCAACCTCAGCGTTTGTCTCTGACCAGCCCCCCACCTCCCCCAAGCCTCACCTGCCTCACCCGAGGGGAGCCAGTGCCTGGAATAAGTCAGCTGAGTTTGGGAGCTGCTGTTTCTGAATTTTCCATGGGGAACTATTCTGGTGAGACAGTCTTAGTTTTTTATAGAGCCTCACTCTGTAGCCAGGCTGGGTATATATTTTTTATTCTTTTGTCTCAGTCTCCCAGAGTACTGTAATAGACATGCTTCACCTCTGAAAGACCAGAGATTTCATTTCTTTTTTTTTTTTCTTTCTTTCTTTCTTTCTTTTTTTTTTTTTTAATGAGTTTAGGACGGGGTCTACAGGGTCTCACTACATGGATCCAATTTGTAGCAATTCTCCTGTTTTCAGCCTCCCAAGCCTGGGATTACAGGTCTCAGCGCGCCCCAGGGGCGGGGCCGTCACCGCAACCAAGGGATTAACCCTGGCCGGGCCGATGTGCTCGGCTTGGCCTAAACAGGCACTTTAGTCCATTGATCTATCTGGCCAGCTCTGGGTTTGCTTTTTGAGTCGGTATCTCGCTAAGTGCTGCAGGCTAGCCTTGAACTCTCCGCAATCCTTCAGCCTCAGTTCCTGAGTGCTGGGGTTTCAGGTATGCACCACCATGCCTGGCTTCTGTCAGACCTTTTAAAACAAATAAATACATAACCAAATATTCAAAAACTGGGGCTGCAAGATAGCTCAGCGGTCTAAAACAGTTACTTAGGCAAGCTTAGGCAGCCACAGGGGATCAAGGTTCAATCCCTCACCACATGCTGTGCCAGCCCCACCCCAGGGTGAGCTGAGCCCAGCAAAAAAAAGTCAAAAATTCAAAAACGCTGGCCATGCGTAGTGATACATGCCTGTCATCTAAACACTCTGGGAAGCTGAGGCAAGAGTATTGCAAGCTTGAGCCCATCCTGTACAATTTAGCAACTCATTTAAAATAAAATAAAACTCTGAGGATCTGGTTCCCTGTGAGGGGGCCTGCCCATTACCTCAGTGGTTTAAGTGCCTGCTTAAACAAAGCAGTGAGGCTCAAGATGCTCTGGTTTGAACCCAGTTTTTCACAGGAAGCCAGAAATGCCCTCAAGGCATCTTCAGGCCACAAAAAAAAAAAAAAAAAAAAAAAAAAAAAAATCCTCCTGGTTCCTTGTGAAGTCCCTGGGTTCAATCCCCAGTTAAGTAAAAGCAAATAGACAAGCAAACAAAAAAGAGAGCAACAACTTATGTTCAACAGTCACGTGAAAGCTGGATGGTAGAGGGCCAGATAGATAGCTCAGTAGAATAAGCGCTTGCCTGGCAAGCATAAGGGCCTGAGTTCAATCTCCAATTCTGCAAAAAAAAAAAAAAAAGAAAGAAAGAAAGCCAGATGGAGTAAATGCCTTTTTCAAAGGTCTGAAAAACAAGCAACATTCAGTAAAAGTATTTATCAAGAATGAAACCTCAGGGGCTGGGGAGACAGCTCAGTGGAACAACTGCTTCCTTGGCAAGTGCAAGGTCCTGAGTTCAATCCCCAGTTCTGCCAAAAACAAAAACAAAAAGCAAAAAAAAAAAAAAAAAAAAAAAAAAGCAATCTCAAAGTCACACAAGATGACTGAGGCAGAAGGAGGGCCAAAAGTTTGAGGGCAGCCCAACCTACATGGTGAATCCAGGCCAGCCTGAACTACACAGCAAGATCCTGGGAGATGGCTCAGTAGAATAAGCGTTTGCCTGGCAATTGCAAGGTTCTGAGTTCAATTCCCAGTACCAAAACAAAAAAACCTGATGAATTATCTTCAAATCCAATATCATTTAATATAATTTCCTGTACTTTCACAATAAGTTTCTAGCTCATAATTTACTGAAACAGTAAACATTTTTGTATTATAATCTGAGTCAGGAAGTATGGATATGCGGACTCTGAATGTGCCTGTCTCTTTGGCCTTGTTTTTCCTGCAGACCCTGGAGGTCTGTCAGCCCTGAGGCACAAGTTGTGCTGGGACTGATGTGTTCTTTCAGCTTCTCTGGCCTTAGCTCCTCTTCAGGAGCGCTTCTGCAGGTAACTCCAGGAGCTGAGCTGGCATTCGGCTTGGACACACTTCCTCTCGAGGAGTGAGGAGTAGGATCTTCCTCAATAAAAGGGCAGCTGTGATGGGCCCTCTGTCATAGACTATTGTGAGGATCTGTACAAATGATCAGTTATAGATCTGTAATTGTTGCCTCCAGTGCAGTTCTCAAAGTTGGGGATAGATGGTGAGAGGATGGAAAAAATAAAGATCAGAGGCCATATACACAAAGCTGAAGTCAGGTGGCGCTCTCTCCCAGTGGGAGGAGAAGGAACTGTTCAACCATCGCAGGTCCTTTATTTATACATTTAGCAAGTTAAAGTGTAACCAACCCCTTTGCCTAACCACTAGCTCACAGTCCCACGTGGGGTGGGGTGGGGTGGCTTATCTGTTCCCCTGGGGTGCTCCATGCCCTTGGCCTCTCCATGCTCTTGGCTCTGTATATGTGACAATCAATAGCTCAGCTGCTCCAGACACATAGCAAATTACCCCAAAACTAGCTGCCTAAAACAATAGTGAATACACAAGATCTTGGCTAGGGACTGGGGATATAGCTCAGCAGCATAAGCGCCTGCCTGGCAAGCACGGGGTCCTGAGTTCAACCCCCAATACCACAAAAGGAAAAAAACCTAGCTCCATGGGCTGAGAACTGAGGTGCAGCTTCCTCGGCAATTCTGGCTCAGGGTCTCCCCAGGGCTGCAGTCAGCATGTGGACCTTGTCCTCCCCAAAAGGCTGCCCCCTGCTTACACACCTTTTGGCTGCTGAGTGTTTTCAAGGATGCCTCAGCTCCTTGTCTCTTGGACACAGGGCTCCACAGGGTGCCTTTCACCCCATGGCAGCTGTCCATGGTGGCTGTCCCCAGTGCAAGGCAGCCTGGAGCACAATGTAGAAGCTGTAATACACTATATGGCTAGCTTTAAAAGACACACTCTGTCATTTTCACCCAGTGAGTCATGCTGGTCAACCCAACTGGGGGGAACCTCCCTGCCCTGGGCATGGATATTGCCTGGGGAGACTGCTGGGGGTCATGCTGGAGGCAGGCGACTGAGTGGCAAGTGTGGTCATGCTTACCACGTGCTGTGAGTTCAGTAAACACTAGCCATCCCTGATGAAGGTACTGTTTTCACACTAGGCAAACAAGCTCTGCCCAACTACCAATTTCATTCAATCCATCTGTGAAAGTTTATTGAGCATCCCTGTGTACAAGGTACTATTCTAGGACCTGGGGAGACAGGAACAACTCTGGGATTCCCTGGCCCTCGGAAATTTCCTCAAACACAAATATGCAATGCCCCACCTGCTGGCACTAAGTGCTATGAAGAACCAGAAACTTAAGTGAGAAAGCCAGGCTCTGGCACACTCCTATAATCCCAGCACTTGGGAGGCTGAGGCAGGAAGACCACTGAGAGTGTGAGGCCAGCCTGGGCTGCATAATGAGTTCAAGGCCAAGCTGCACTACACAGTGAGGACTTGTCTTAAAAAAAAAAAAAAAAAGTCAGGTAAGAGGTAAGAGAATCAGAGGGTGAGGCTGTGCTCTTTCCTCCGGGAAGCCGGCTGCTGCGAGGATGAATTCCCATACCCAGGGGCCTGTCCCGGCTTCCCAGGCACTTAGGCTAAGTACCCACTTCACACTAACTTGGGGTCAAACTCCACAAAGCAGAAACAAGATTTGAGTCCCTGAGAAACTTTGAGGTTCTCTTGTGTGAAGATGCAGGGTGCCCGATGCTCTGACCAGGTCGAGGAAGGGTCAGGGATCTGCCTTTGAAACAAACACCCAGGGAGAGATGGAGACACCAACCACCTGCCCCTGGGATGGCAGCAGCAGCACAAGACAGGGCAGGCCACTCTGCCAAGGCCAGAAGAATCTCCAGCTCTGCCACAAAGCCTGGGCAGCGCCGAGCTATGGAGAGAGGGGCAACAGCTGAGGCCCAGAGCACCAAGCACTTTTCCCAGGAACTTCAGGGCCAGTTTAGGTACACAAGGGTCATTTGATTAGGTAAAAATATATATCTATATATCTATGTATATAGATATAGATATTGAAGATGGAACCCAAGGCCCTGTAAATGCCGAGCAGGTGTTCCACCACTGAGAAGTGCCCCAAACCCATATATGTATTTTGAAAAAGTCTATGTGGTGGCGGAGGTCTATGATCGCAGCACTCTGGAGGACAAGACTGAAGGATCATTGTGCATTCCAGACAAGCCTGGAATACTATATCGCTTACTTTTCAGTCATTGCTGGGATAAAATACCCAACACCCAAAATTAAGAAAGGAAAGGTCAGTGCAGGGTTCAGCCCATACTTGGCTGGCTCCAAGGCTGAGTAGCACACAGCCGTCCTTAGTGGCAGAAAACAGCAAAGAGCAAAGCGAGGGGCAGCAGCTATAGCTTCTACCCAGCCTCTCTCCCCTCCTTACATTATAAGCAGGCTCCCCTGGCGTGGGGGTGCAGCATTCACAAAATCTCCCTGCCCCCCCTCTTGCACAGGATGAGGATGTTTACAGAGTAAGAACCCTGGCTCCCTGCTCAGTCACTTAAACTTCTAAACTTCTCAAGTTGACACAATGACATAGGAAGTTCCAGGCCAGCCCAGACTACATAGGAGAACTCATCTTAGAAACAAAACCAAAAACCAACAAGAGAGAAACTATTTTCCTGCCTGCTAGATGAGGCTGGCTATGTGACATGCTTTGGCAAAAAGGACATTTGTAAATGTGTTTGACACAGCACAGCTCTGACTGGAACTTATCCTGTCCTGCTGCCTTTTGGAACCACATGGAATGGTGGCTCTGCCTACTGGGGGGAGACAGGAGGACTACCCAGCACAAGCAAGTTCCCCTGCTTGATTGCACTGGGAGTGGCACGTGGCCCATGGTGGCTAATAGGGTATGTGGGAAAGTTAGGGGTACTTTCTGGAAAACGTCCCAGGCCAAGAAAGTTATAGGGGAAGGCTCTATATTAAACAACTCATTTAAGTCTTATGAAGCAGGTACTATTACTTACCCACTTTATTTTTTTTAATTTTTTTTTAAATTTTATTTATTTGTGTGTGTCTGTGTGGCCAGCTCAGCCCACCAGGGGGAGGGGCTGGCTGGCATGTGGTGCTGGGGGATTGAACCGCGGTCCCTGTGCTTTGCTAAGCTTTCTAAGTAGGTGCTTTAGACCACTGATCCATCTCACCAGCCCCACTTACCCATTTTAGACAAGCAGACTCTGATGGCACAGAGTAGCTAAGAAGCTGGCAGAGTATCAAACAGCAAGTTAATGCTACAACCAGGATCATACTGGAGCCAGGATTGCGTGCGTGCGCGCACGCGCACGCGCGTGTGTGTATAGCACAAAGGGCTGAACTTAATCAGCTATTTATTTATTTATTTATTTATTTATTTATTTATTTATTTGGCAGAACCAGGGATTGAACTCAGGCCCATGCACTTGCCAGGCAAGCACTGATTCTACTGAACCATCTCCCTGGCCTATTTATTATATATATATTATATATTTTTTTTTGACATGGTGTACAGGGTCTCATTGCATAGATCTGACTCATAGTGATCCTCCTGTTTACAGCCTCCCAAGCGCTGAGATTACAGGTGCACTCCACCATGCCTAGTCTCAATCGCCGGCTCAGTGCACCCCTGAAGTGGGGCTGGCACGGCAGGCCCAGGGATCGAACTCCCAATGCCTGCCAGTCTTTTATTTTTGAGACAAAGTCTGAGTACTACATTACTCATTCTGGACTCCCAACTTTTGATCCTCCTGCCTCAGCCTTGTAGAAGCCTAAGGTACAGGCATGTGCCACCACACCTAACTTGAAGTCAGGATTAAACTTAGGGCAGTCTGACTGCAGAGTGGTTTCTGAGTAGTACAATGCCACCTTCCTTTTTCCTGTGACATATGCGACTGTTAAGGCCCTTGTGCCAGCTATCTCCAGGGACAACTGAGCAAAGGTCAGGAGACAGGACAGCTGGTATCCTAGTCAACAGCTTGGAAGCTACCAGCCCTGATGTCCACACCATTCATTGTTTCCTGTAAAATATATATTTTTTTCTGCTTCTGTCACTGTTTTTTTTTTTGTTTTTTTGTTTTTTTCTTTTTTCCAGTATAGGTACTAAATCCAGGGCCTCACACACACTACAGGGAATAGGGAATTCTTTTTCTTTTTTCTTCTTTTTTGCAGTACCAGGGATCGAACTCAGGACCTTGCATTTGCCAGGCAGGTACTTAAGCCGCTGAGCTATCTCCCCAGCCCACTCTACACTAGACACTTTATCATGGAGCTGCACACCCAGCCCTTGCTTTAGCCACTTTGACTCAGAAGGGCCCCCATCTGCGATGCTGCTGCCTACAGAAGAAAGAGAGTGCAGGAAGACGCCAGGGCTATAGGGAGTCTGTGCTCACAAACCACTCATCTGGGGTTCAGACTAAATAGCCTTTACTGTATTGAAGTGGAAAAAAGGTGCAGGGTAAGAGAATGTGGGAGAGGGCAGAAGAAATCTCATGAAGAAAGGTTATCTCATAACTCTCCTTTATTAGGCACAAGATGAAATTATATACTCACAGTCCAAAACACATAGTGCTAACTACAGTTCTGGACCCTGAATGTTCACAGAACAGGGGGCTTCACTGCTTCCAGACCAGCAGACTCTGCTAATCTAACCTCCCAACTGTGGTGCTCCAAGCAGAGGCAGCAGCCTCTGAAGGAGGCTAGGATCCTCACTCCAGGCCATGGCTGTCGGACAGGAAGCAGCCTCAGGTGGGATGCTTGGTTCTCCAGCCCAAACCCTTGCCTCAGCTGCAAGGAGAACCAATCAAGCCAAGCACAGTGGCCTAATCCCAGCACTCAGGAGGCTGAGGCAGAAGGGCTGTTGTGAATTCAAGGCCAGATTAGGCTACAAAATGAGTTCAATGCCAGTGTGAACTACATAGAGCAAGATTCTTGTCTAAAAAAAATTAAATTAAAAAAGAGTAAAAGAAATTGAGAGAGAGAGAGAGAGACAGAGAGAGAGAGAGACAGAGAGAGACAGAGAGAATTTCTCCATCACTCTGGAGGTCAGAGCTGCCAGTGTACAATGCCTAGCCTGCCTGGCTTCCACCCAGCCCATCTGGGTTCTGGGCAAGGCCAGGCACCTTTGGTACAAAGATGCTTGCTTCCCTTTCTCTCCCAGGTTCAAGGTACCAAGGCAGCTAGGTTTTGGGAGATAGGAACTGTCCTGTGGGCAGTGTCTTGGCACCAGCCCAAGTGGAGGGCAACCCTGGTACTGAGTGTGCCCAGGCGGACTGGCCCATGGGTATAGCTCTAGAGTAGAGAATATATCTCCTTTACTCACTGCTGTGTAGCAAGCACCTGGAAAAGGGCACACGGTGTGCACACCAGCATGACGTGTATGAAACAGCACAAGTGGGGGCATGGCCCTAGCTCAGGGGGCATGGCCCTAGCTCAGGCCTTTAAGTGTGGCTGCTTCCACAAAGCTCTCAGCCTCAGGTTGCTGGAGTTCGAACCTCACAACTCTCCCGCTGGCCAAAAGTGCCCTGAAGCCATTCGAGGAACAAAAAAAAGAAACAGCACAAGTGTGCCCACACTTTTTCCTTCCAGAAGGCAGCTGAGGTTGGGCTCAATAGAACAAGGCAGGAGAAAGGATGGAGACCACAAACTCAGCCCATGGTTCATGGCTGGGCTTCTAACAGAGCGGCCTAGCTATACAGACCCACCTCCCTGCCACCCTTCTCCCCCTCGGCCTCCTCCAGACCCAGCCCATCAGGGACTACCTGGTCAGTGTCCCTAAGATGGGATCGGGACAGGGCTAAGGGGACTGGGTCCTCCTGCAGCCAGGGGTGCAGCAGGATACCTGAGGCCGTGAGCCTTTCAGCTGGCTCCCGCCGGAGAAGGCAGCGCACAAGGCAGCGGGCCGGGGCTGAGAGGCCAGCAGGCAGCTCAAAGGCACCGCGCCGGATTTTGCCAAAGAGTAGGGTGGGCTCTGAGTCCTGGAAGGGGTAGTGGCCAGCCAGCATGGTGAAGAGAGCCACGCCCAGGCTCCAGATGTCTGCTGCCTTGCCAGAGTAGGATGCCCTCGAGCTGAGGATCTCAGGTCCCACGTAGGCTGGACAAGCCTGCTTGTCCCACAGCTGGTCATCAGGTCCCGTCAGGACACAGGCGTCTTCCAGGTTCTCCAGCACCAGCTTTGTCCTGGGCAGGGGAAGGGGGGTCAGATCCTACTGGAACCCCCATGCCACCAGCCTGCACTATCACCCTCAGTGGCACTCAGTTCCAGTGGGTACTGGCACTGGACAGCAGGAGCCAGCCCTGGGAGGCTGGACTATGGAGCTGTCTTTCCAACAGAAAGCCCCGGCTCAGAGAGGAAAAAAGTGTTTCTCTAGCTCACAGAGCAAATAGATCTATAATGACACTAAGATTTAAAGAATACGTAACCCGGAGCCAGGTGTGGTGGCGCACACTTATAATCCCAGCACTGAGGCTAAGGCACAAGGATCCTTGTGGGCAACAAAGTGAGCTAAAGGCCAGCCTGAACTCTATAGCGAGACCTTACCTCACAAACAAAAAGAAAAAAAAAGAACACATAACCTAAGTCCCTTGAAGGGCGGCTGAGTGGCTGAGCTTCTCTTAGACTAGAGCAAAAATCAGGGGAGGGGGTATAAAGGGAGAGAAACAAATGAGCCAGGCGTCACAGCACAAGCCCTGCCCTGAAGGGGCATGAGTAACAGCACCGAGAGCCAGGAATGTCTGAGTGTCCCATGCTCTGGGCTGGTCACCTTCATGGCTCACTCTGTGTACCCTGGAGGGAGACTCCATGGTGCTACCCTTCTCACCCTTCCCTAGCCCCACCCTCTTCCCATGGGTGATACTGGGTGAGCACACTGGGCAGGTACTGTGTTACTGAGCTACATCTCCAGCCCTCCAAAATCATATTGATTTTTATTATTTTGAAAATATTCTGTGGTATTGGGGGCCTCATGTATGCTAGGCAAGTACTCTACCACCAAGCCACAATACCAGCCCCAGAAATCTTTTTTTTTTTTTTTTTTTGGTACTAGGAATCAAACTCAGAACCTTGAGCTATATATCCCCTTGAGCAACTGGGCTATATCTCTGGCCTCAGAAATTACATTTTAAATTTTAAAATTTTATTTATTTATTTATTTATTTAGAGACAGAGTCTCACACATAGTTCAGGCTGTCTTTGAGTTCACTGTTTAGCCCAGGCTGGCCTCAAACTTGAGCATGTCCTCCTGCCTCAGACCCCTGAGTGGCATGCATATGCCACCTCTCTCAGCCCATATTTTAACTTAATTTTCCCCATATTTTATTTTATTTTTTTAAAGGCCCCAGTTTTTAAAATATTGGCAACAATTTCCGCTCAAAACACAAATATGGGGGCCGGGGAGATAGTTCAGTAGAATAAGCACTTGCCTGGCAAGCGCAAGGGCCTGAGTTCAATCCTCAGTTCCGAGGAAAAAAAACAAACAAAACCCCCACAAATATGCATGCAGGACCAAAACCAAAGCAAAACAAAAACAGAGGGAGAGGAAACGCCTATCATCTGCAACTTCCCCTTTACTTTGTGCTTTGCAGAGCCGGGAATGGAACCCACAGCCTCAGGGACCCCAGGTGCAGGCTCTAGCCCAGCCAAGTCCCAGTCTGAGAGCCTCTTCCCTAAACACCGCCAGCAGAACACTCCAGGTCACATTAATAACAATTGCTCTGCAAGGGCCGCTCATCTGCCCCAGAGCGATGCTTCCTGGGCACCTGCTGGGCTCTGGCTGGACCCATCCCGGACTCCAGCCTGGGAGGGAGCTGAGAGTGGGGTCAGAAGCCATGCTCAAGGCCAGAAAGCAGGCAAGAAGACAATCAGAATTTAAACCCAGGTCTGGTTGGCCTGGCTCAGCCATCCATCCCCCTTCTGCCTAGTTCTCTGAGAAGAGGCTGGGTATTTTCCTCCAGAAGGTCTGGAGCAGCTATGACTGCCCCAAGTATGAAATCTGTTTGAGGGGGCTGGTGAGATGGCTCGGTGGTCTAGAGCACCTACTTAGAACAAGCTAAAGCACAGGGACGGCGGTTCAATCTCCCAGTTCCACATGCCAGCCAGCCCCACCCCCTGGTGGGCTGGGTTGGCCACACACATAAATAAATAAATAAATAAATAAATAAATAAATAAATAAATAAATAAAATAAAATAAAGAAATCTGTTTGAGCTGAGCATGATGGTGAGGGCCTATAAGCCTGAATTTGGGAGACTGAAGCAGGAGGATTGTTGGAGTTCAAGGTCCGCCTGGGTTACATAGTGAGTTTAAGGCCAGCCTGAAATTTATAAGACCATCTCAAAAATAAAGAATAAAACAAAATAAAAAATGAAGAAATCTGTTTGAAGTTATATACCAATTTAAAAGTCATCCCTAGGTTGGATCCCTAGTACCAATCTACTTCTTAGTCAAAGGCATGTTTGTTTTGACAAAAAAAAAAAAAAAAGAAGGAAACAGAAAAATCAGCCTTAGGCAAACATCACAGTGCCAACTGCTCCAGGCATGACTGATAGCTGTGAAAATTAGTGGCTGAAAAGTTTGATGATATACAAAGCCCCCAAGGCACTCATTAGTCACAAGTTACAGGAGGCGCTTTGCCCATTGTGGAAACCTAGCAGGTTCCTCTTTTCCCAGTGGTCAAGGTAAAGTCACTCTGAGGAACTCTCAAGCTCCTGCCTCTCCTACTGGGATAAACTGAGGACCTCCCCTTGCACCCTGCGCCCTCTCCCCGCACTGGGATGCAGCCCAGGATCTGGAGCTGGCTGGGCAAGTGCTCTCTCTGACTTTTCCCAGGGAACTAAGGAGTGGGTGTGAGGCTAGGAGTCTTACTTTTTTTTTTTTTTTTTTTTAATGTATTTGCTTGGTACAGGGTCCTACTATGCAGCTCGGACTCATAATGATCCTCATATTTTCAGCCTCCTGAGTGCTGGAATTGATTACAAATGTAGGCTGCTACGACCAACTAGACTCTGTGCAGCCCTGGAGGCAGAGCTGGCAGCATGTGGTGCCAGGGATCAAACCACTGTCCCTGCGCTTGCCTAAGCAGGCGCTTCAGGCCACTGGCCTATCTTGCCATCCACTCACTTTTTTTTTTGGTGGAACTAGGGATTGAACTCAGGCCCTTGCGCTTGCCAGGGAAGCACTTATTCCACTGAGCCATCTCCCCAGCCCCCTATCCCCTGACTTTTTAAAAGAATGCTTGGTGCTATCTGTGGAACCCAAGGGCTCCCGTGTGCTCTACGACTGAGCAACACCCTCTAGCACAGGTTTCTCCATCTTGCTGAAGTTACTGTGTTCCCTGGGCCTCAGTTGTCCCATTGTGTCATAGCCCTTGGGTGTATGTATGTGGCCACTCTCACCTCTCACAGTTGGTGAAGACGAAGCGACACAGCTTGAGATCACGCAGGACCAGGCCATGCCGGTGGCAGTGCGCCAGGGCAGAGGCCATCTGCCGGAAAAGCAAGGCAGCCTCGGGCTCCGGGATCCGGCGGCGGCTGCGCACCAGGCTGTGCAAGTCCCCGTGAGTCCGAGGGAAAAAGGCACAGAGGCGCTCAGGCCCCAACAGGACCTCCTTGGGTCGAGCCACATTCTGGTGAGGCGGCAGCCTCGAGTAGGGCTCCAGCACTGCCCAGTCTTCACAGGCAGGATACACCTGTGGGGAGAGGGGGAGCTGTGTAAGTCCAGCGGGGCAGGGACCCCAGGTGGCCTTGTAGACAATGCAGTCACCTTCTTTTTTTTTTTTTTTTTTGCTACTGGGGATTGCTAAATTGCCCAGGCTTCTGCCCCAGCCTCTGAGACTGCTGAGATTATAGGCTCCTCCCAGTGCTTTCCCTCTTCACAGGCTGTTTCTACAAGCCCTCTCCATGCTGGCCAGAGCAGGTCCTTTTCACCCTGAAAGGCATATGCCTGTCCCTAGCCTGCACAGCTGCTGCTCTCGTACCTGGATCTCCCTTCACACAGCAGGCAGGCCGGCTTCTACCCCACCCTGGCTGACACCCCTGAACGCTGATGAGATGTCTCTTCTGTGCTCCTTGAGCCCTAAGCTCCACCGTGCAGCGTTTATTCCACCGTGGGATCCACACTGTGAATGCCCTAGTGCTGCTCCTGTGCCGCTGTACCACTCTGGTCTGAGCCCAGCCAGGGGCTCACTGACTGCTTCTCAGTTTTAAGGTCTGTGTTTAGGTGTCCCCTCAAAGCCTCATGCAGGCATGCAGAGGACTTCTAGAGGTTGTGATTAATTCATATCCAATGCTGGGATTATGGGTGTGAGTGCTACACCTGCACTGGGCGTAGCCTGGATGCGGTACAAGGAAGGGAGAGGCTTGGTCTGTCTCTGCTGCTGCCACTGCCACCGCTCTTCCCTTTTTGCTCTTGCTGTTCGGCTGTTTTCTGCCGCCATCAACAACTGCCCTCTGCCTTGGGGCCCAGCTGAGTATGGACTGAAATCTCAACAAACTGTGAGCTAAATAAACCTTTCCTTACTTAATTCTGGGTGTTGGTAATTGTGTCCCAGCAATGAGAGAAAAAGAACTGAGACATTGGTAAACATAGGAATGAATGAACCCGAGGGCCTTCCAAGTCCAAACCGACCCCTCCCAGCCCTCCACCCCCACCCTCACCCTCCCCATCCCCACACACACCTACCTTGCAGGTATACTCCCTGCTCGTAGGACGGTGCAGGGCCCGGTAGGCCCGCCCACCCTCCTCAGGCTCTAGGAGGATGTAGGGCCCAAGCTCACGGGAGGTGGGGGCCAGAGCAGGTGCCTGGGGAGAAGCAGCTGGGCCCAGGGACTGCAGGCAGGGCACTGGCTGGGGCTGGGGCCCATTTCGGGCTCGTTTCTCAATGGGCCACTCAGAGTCCAAGTCAGCCACTGACTCCATGCGCTTCTTCCTGGAGGCACCAGTAGGAGCAGGCACAGGGGTGGCTTGCATCTGCAGAGAAGGGGAGAAAGGCCCTAGGGGAGGCTGCTTAGTGGTCCCTGTGTTCCCCAGCTGGGTGGGCACCCTGGCATAGCCTTCATGAAGGCAATCTGGCAGTGTGTGCTACAATGAGAAGTATACCTCTTGTCCAGTGCCTCATTTCTAAAAAGTCAGTTTCCAGCTAAATTGCTCACAAAAATTTAAATATGTGAAAGGCTGTTTATCAGAACTTGGTGTCTAAAAGCAAAAGCCAGGGAATATACCCAAGGGTTTGGCAGTAGAAAGTTGGATAAGACAGGGTGGAATATTATATGGCAGTAAAGAAGCACCAGCTGGCTCTCTAGGTACTGATGGGGACTGATCTCCAAGGAGTATTCAGAGAAAAAGAAAATTGTTACGTTTAATTTTAGACATGTGTCCTGGTGATAGCATGAAAAGTGGATTACGGTGTGGAGTACCACACAGCACTGCAGTCACTAACAATATTGCTAGAGGGTCATCGATGGTACAACCTTCACGGAGAGGTGTTCTTTTATTTGGTACAGGAGACTGAAAACAGGGAGCACTGCACCCCACTCCAAGCAGGACAAGGGTGAGCATGGACCTCTACTGTAGAAGGGAGGCAGTCCCTACCACGCAGCAGCTGCTGCTGTCCCTGCCATGCTGGGAGAGGGTGATGAGGGCAGGAGAACCCAAATATGCTCTGCAGTCAAGGGCAGACAGGTGTGCGCACCAGCCTCAAAAACACGTTGTCCAAGCCCCAGAGATTAGCACAAACATCAGCACTTCAAGCGTCACACACTTGGCCTTCCAGAAGCAAAAGGGGAGCGCGCTCACGCTTACAGCCGGGTCCTGGGACCGTTCTCCGCCTCCGCAGCCGCAGCCGCAGCCGCAGCCGAGCCCCGAGTCTGGGGTCAGAGATCGTGCGGAGTGCAGAGAGCAGAGCTGGGCTGGGAGAGGGCTGCGCGGAGGCGGCCCGGGTCGAGCTGGGCGGAGCTGGGCTCAGAATCTCAGTGCAGTGCTTCAGTGGCCGGGTCCCTGCGCTGTCCCCGCTTACTAACCCAACTTGCGCCCACGTGCCCAGCCGTCACTGTCCGCGGGGATCCAGACCACCCAAGCCCCTTACCCTGGCCTCTGCCACAGAGCTCCCGATAGCCCCACAAACATCCGGCGCGACCCTGTAGTGCCCCCAGAAGTCTTACAGTTCCCGATTCTTATCACCTGGCTCCGCCCCACGTCCCGCGAAATGGACCGCACACGCGGGGTGACTGTCGCACACTTCTGCTGCTGGCTCCCCGGCTCTGGAACTGGGCCGTCGCGCCCCGAAGGTGCGCCCCGCGCGAGCCACAGCACCTAGAACAGGGAGCTCGGCCCAAGCGCCCAGCCGGCTTCCTTCTGCCCCGGCCGGTACCTTGTTCGGCGTCCCACTGCCCTGCGAGGGACACGCTGCCCTACGTCGCGGCCGACGTCGCTCTCCAAGCCTAACAGAGGACCAGCGCTGAGCCGCCGGCGCTCGGCTGCGAGTGACCCGGGAGCGCTAGGCGCCGGCTCCAGTCCGCGGGGTGATGTAAACCTGAGCTAATCCGCTACTGTCTGACGCCCGCAGGCGGGGGATTGCACCAGCCGGGCCCCGCCCCGCCCGGGCCCGGCTGGGCCCAGCACCGCCCCCTGCCGGAGTGCCCCAGGCACCTATGGGGTTGTGGTCCTACTGCGGAACCCAAGACAAAGAGTGCGACCCTCCCAGTCTCTTTGGGGGGAAAATAAAAAATCTGAACATCGGTTTCCCTACCCAAAATATGGTAGGAGGGGCCAGGGAGATGGCTCAGTAGAACAAGAGCTTCCCTGGCAAGTGCAAGGGTCTGAGTTTAATCCCCAGTTCCACCAAAAAAACAAACAAACAAAAAGATATGGTAGGAACGTCATTATTCTGAGGTTGGTACTGGAGAAAAGAAGAAAACGGTGACTTTACTGGGTAGCTCCAAGGGAGAGCGTGTTCCCTGAATTTGAACCCTGATAGGAAAAAAAAAAAAAAAAAATCATAATTGGCACCTCTGGGCTCAGGAGAATCGATGCAGCGCTTGGGGCCTAAGGTCGCTTGTGCAGCCTGCCGGCTGGGCTCAGGCACCTCAGAACCACCCCACCTAGGCATGCACCCCTCTTCAAAGCCTCTTACAATTGCCTGGTTTCCTATGAAGTGGACTCACTGCAGTACCTGCGTCACAGCCCCGCTGGGAGAATTAAATAACTACACACAGATAAAATGTTTAGGTACTCAATAAATAGAGCGCATAAGGCGAAGGCTGACAGGGTGGGGTTCAGACAGGGTGTGGGAGCTGCAAGAGGCCCTGGTGCCCCTAGACCGGGGTCCCCAAAGGCCCAGAACCTTTCCTGTAAATCTTTTTGGTACACGGTCTTGCTATGCAGCTGGGACTTGTGATGATCCTCCTGCTTTCAGCCTCTCCAGTGCTGGGATTACAGGCGTTGTGCCCCCACGCCTGGGTTTAGGCCGGCTCAACCCTCCCTGGGGGCGGGGCTCGCGGGGCATGTGGTGGCAGAGATCAAACCACGAATCCTGCGCCTACCTAAGCAGGCGCTTAGTCTGCTGAGCTACCTCAACGCGTTGTAAATCTCTTCGTTCATGATGTCTTCACTAAAAACAGAACTCGCCAGGTAAGGCCAGAGGGAGGCAGTATACGCCTCTAAAGCCGCCTTCCCTTCCTCGGTGCGGGACACCTGGGACCAGAATCCCAGGGTTTAGATGACTTGAGTCTCAGAGTCCCGGGAGCTCTCCCGTGCCTCCTCTGCTGGAGAGGGATGACGAACTTAGGCTCCACACGGGACCCTGAGACATGTGAAAGATGCTCACTGAGGTGAGGGGCAGAAGATCACCTGTCTGAAGCCAGCGTTGCCAGGTTTGCTGGAGATTGATAACTTCGTCTGTGCTGAGCTAATGTCCTGGCCTAAGTGGTGGGCAATCGGGGTGATCAGATTGGCCCATTCCTGCCTTGACAAAGCATGTAAATCAACAGGGAGGGCGCGTGTTATGAAGACAATTGGCAGCATTTAAGATAGACCAGAGTCCCTGGGCGTGGTTGCACATGTCTATAAACCAGCACTGGGAAGCTGAGGCTGGATCGCCGTGAGTTCAAGGCCAGCCGGAACTGCACGGTGAGGCTCTGACTCAAAAAGCAGAAAACAAAACAAAAGTGAAAGGGTTATAAAAATAGTAAGGGTAGCATGTATTTTCTTGAATTGAAAGAGAAGATACAGGGGCTAGATTGGTTCTCTGTCATGATTGAGGATGGCTGTTTTCACTAGGGCTCATCAGAAAGGTAATATTCAAGATTTAATGAGGAGGGCTGGCGAGATGGCTCAGTGGTCTAAAGTACCTACTTGGAACAAGCTTGGCAAAGCACAGGGACCGCGGTTCGATCCCCCAGCACCACATGCCAGCCAGCCTCGCCCCCTGGTGGGCTAAACACTAAATAAATGTTAAAAAAAAACTTTAAAAAAAAGATTTAATGAGGAAACAGAGTGAGCAAAAAAGAAGGGGTGAGCAGTATATCAATGTGAGAGGGGGGTGGAAGAAAGTTAAGTGCAAAAGCCTGAGGTGGGGACGCTAGGCTCTGAAGGGAGTGTGAAGTCACCACTGTCACCTCCATTCTATAGACCTGAGGCACCAAGAGGAAGGCCCCACTTCAAATCGCCCAGCTTGGCATATTTGAGATTTGAACCTGGGAGAGCTGAGCCAGTGCCCACAAGGTCCTGGACACCTCCACCTCAGGTTTTTTTTTTTTTTTTTTTTTGCGGAACCCGTGATTGAACTCAGATCCTTGCATTTGCCAGTCAAGCGCTTATCCTAATGAGCCATCTCCCCAGCCCCTACACCACAGTCTTGACAACCAGCAGCTTGCACATGGACTTATGGGCACAGTTACTGGGGAGTCGCCCTGTCTTCCTGCCCTAGCCTTGCCCTGTCTGGCTGACCTAGCTAAATTCCTACTGCACTCTTATCTTTGGTGGGGCTGGGGATCAAACCCAAAGATGCTCTCTTACTGAGCTACATTCCCAGCCCTATTTACTTATTTACTTATTTACAAAGTGTCTCTATATAGTAGTTGGCCTTGAACTTGCTGTATATAGCCCAAGCTCTCTCAGTCTCCAGGGGGCAGAGGTTGTTCGCATGCACCACCACACCTGCTCCTATTCATTTATTTATTTATTTAATTTTGTGGTACCGGGGATCAAACTCAGGACCTTGCACTTTCCAGGCAGGTGCTTATGCTGCTGAGCTATATCTCTGGTTTCTTTCTTTCTTTCTTTCTCTCTTTCTTTCTTTCTTTCTTTCTTTCTTTCTTTCTTTCTTTCTTTCTTTCTTGAGACTGGATCCCACGTGCAGCTCAGGCTGGACTTGAGCTCACTTTGTAGCCCAAACTGTGTCAAATTCACAATGATCCTCCTGCCTCAGCCTCCCGAGTGCAGGGGTTACAGACGTGCACCAACACACAAACACACCTTTTAATTTTTTGTTTTGAAAGAGTCTCTTTACTGCCCAGGCTAGCCTGGGATTTGAGATTCTGCCTAGCTTCCCATGTAGCTGGGATTACATGTGTGCACTGCAGTGGCCAGCTTGTTTATCTTTGAGTTCAATCCCCAAAACTGGAGGGAAAAAAAGAATTGGATTAGGCCAGTATTTTCCAAAATGCTCTATGTCCAGTCCTGGTGGGGTTGCAGAAGGTCTGAGGGTCCTGAGACCCTAGGTGGCGGGTCACTGGACCATGTCCTGGTGCACTGACCCCCTAGCTGACTTCCTTATTGGCCCTCCAATGACACAGGGTGAAAGCGTCCTTTACCTAACCTGCTTCAAGGCTCAGAGTGCCTCCATGCTGAGGAGCTGAGGTCAGCCCTCGCTCTGAGCCTTCGCCTGGAAACAGGACTGAGTGAGGGTTGCGTGAGCTTGTTTTGTTTAGCTTCCTTGTATTTAATCTTACTGTAGTTTTCCATTTGAGGTT